AAAGTGGGTCAAGGTCATTCATTTGAACAAACTTTGTAGCCCTTCATCCCAGCATGCTACAGGCCTAATATCAGTACCCTGGGCCTTTTGGTTATTGAGAAGAAGTTGTTTAAAGTAAAAAGTTGACGCCGGACAGACGGACGAAGAACGGACGGACGACGGACAACGCACCATAACATAAGCTCACTTGCCCTTCGGGCTAATAAACCATAGTAAACTTTACTCCTTCCCCAAGGGAAAACGGATGGCCGGGGGTCCTGAAATTTACAATTTAAGTAAAGCCCCTGATGATCTTTCTTTCCATGCAGAGAAAATGACTGTAGTACCTCTTGAGTCTGGAAAAGAAGATTTTTGAAACATTGATTAATTTCCCCTTTGGGGCCCCGCCCTGGCGTCAGGGGTTGGGGTAGGAATCCCAATTTTACAATTTTGTAGCCTCATCTACCAAGGATGATTCTGACCAAGTTTGAAAAAAATCAATCCACTGGTTCTTGAAAAGAAGTTGAAAATGTAAAAAGTTTACGCACAACGGACGACGACGGACGGAAAGCGATTAGAATAGGTCACTTGAGAAAAGCTCAGGTGACCTAAAAAGGGGGGGTGGAGACACACCATCCTAGATAACTGAAGATTCTTTAATTTCTATGTTGATAGTACTGTGGATACCATAACGGTATACAGAATTTACACTGGTAGCTATATAATAAGTAAAAAACCCAGGAATAAGTGCGAACAACACAGCAAATCTCTCCCAAATGTCAAAATTTATTGCAGCAACATTTACATGTTTCGACTCAGAGGCAAGTCGTCATCAGAATAACAATGATATTTTGATGTCATTGATACGTGTGTAAACAACTAAATTGGTGACGTGATAATAGGGTTCGCATAATTGCGTAAGAGAGAGTAAGCTCAGTGTATGGTTTATCAGCCGAGGGTGAACTGGGCAAACCTACCTGGACTGCCTTCAGACACAGTTGTGACGTGCCACGGACATGTAACATGTACTTGTCACCGGGTCCATCTCCGTGATCTTTGCCATCGCTCTTGTCCTGACTTCCCGACGCTTTTCCTCCCTACAGAACACCAAACATATTGATAAGTCAGGATTCTGTAGTGTTATAGGCAGTCTAATCATTGACAAAATGCGGGACCACTGTGTTGACATATTTATCCCAAAACTGATATTTTAATTCCTTCTAGCTAATAATTGTTATTCATATGACAAAATACATGTATTTTAAAGAAATGACATCTCCCCTAGGACAACCTCTATATAGACTATGTATCTACACTGTACATATATAAATCATGACATCTCCCGTAGGACAACCTCTATATAGCCTATGTATCTACATTGTACATATATAAATCATGACATCTCCCCTAGGACAACCTCTATA